AGGAGTTAGGTATAAGGAGCATAAAAGAGGATGTACAATCATCTACACCAGACGAATTCTTCTTATATTTTTCGGATAAAAGAGCGCTAAGTTATTCCCAAGGATGGGTCAAACTGATCCAAATGAGATACCATAATTATCTATTTAAAGTCTAGACCCCCTCCAAATTTCTACTACATTTATACATCCGTTGAAACAGGGATTGCTATGAGAAATTTTCCTTTAGTCAAGAACTCTATTTCTTAAAGTGTGGAAGATATTTTGTTTTTGGTAAGAGATAAAATATTTGGGTGTGAAACTAGAAACACATACGTTTTGTTCTTTATTTTTATACTAACATTTGTTTTGATTTTGACTTTAAAAGGATTTCTGAATTGTACTGTTCTGATTTGATTGAAGATAGTAGTGTTTATATATCCAAATTATCTTCAATTTTGTTGTTCCTTCTAACAAGTAAACGGTTAAACTGATCTGATTTGATTGAAGATAGTAGTGTTTATATATCCAAATTATCTTCAATTTTGTTGTTCCTTCTAACAAGTAAACGGTTAAACTGATCTGATTTGGTTCTTTATTTCAAAGGATATTTTTTTCTTTTTTTCTTTCCTTCTAAAACGGTTCCCGTTAAATTTTATCCGATAGAAAATTTCGAACATTAAGTTTAATATTACCAAAACAAATTTAAGTGATGGCTAATAATTCGGAAGGCTTAATGAGCTGCTATTTATTTTTCGTAGTAGTTTGGATGCCATGGTATGACTTTTTAAGAGCGGTTTTTGATCAGGCCCACCTTTCTAGACAAAAGTTTAGTTTAATATTATCATTAACAGTGTCTGAAAAATCGGATTTCTTAATCGTGGTTGCTGTAATTTTTCAAAGCTTTGGTTCCTTTTTCATGTGCAATGCGGAGTCTCGTTTACTGTTTGAAAATAAAATAAAGATGTCTACATCGTCAACTTCTACTAGTACAGGTGTTGATTCGCCGGAACTAAACCCGGAAGTGAGTTCACAACAACAAAAAAATAATGCACTCAAAACTAAAATTGAAAGTGAAACTGTCGGAATGTGAAGAGTTACAGCAAAGAATGAGGGTTAACTCATAGTACTAAAGTTATGGAAGAACCAATCATGGAACAAGAGAAAACCCAGGCTGTCTTTTTCTTGCTGCTGTAAAGAGCTACTTGGGCTCAGTACGTAAATAAAGATTTAGGTGTTTATATCTCTGCCACCTATGGGACGTCTCAGATAACAGAGCGAAGGTCGTCAACTATCCAGCCACTCGTTCATTTAAATATGTTTGTCTTGATAGGACGTACATGCTTTGCACGTTATGTTTGATGCGCAAAATCACAAAAGAATTCCGAAGAGCACATATGAACTAGTTATAACAGGCCTATCGGATCCGAAACTACGGTCAAGGGAATCCACCAAGTCAAGTGGTAGAAATACCACTATAGTATTCAACCACTGTTACTTAATAGCATCAATTCAGGTAAACTCCTTGTTTTAGGTAACTTGTTTTAACACGTTTACTTTGAGCATCCAATTTTAATTGATTTACTTTTGAAAATATCCTGAACTAATTGGCCAAGGTTCATGAGTTCCAAAAATTAAAAACAAATATATATATATATACTTTTGTAAAATGCTATCGTCTGTGCTTGTATATGCATTTAGTTAAGGAAATTTTAAGATAATAATTTTCCTTTTAGGATTATTATGATGGATATAATATATTGCTCGTATTTTCTTTGTTCTTATCATTTGTGTTTGATAATACCAGACTTCTTAAGAGATTTACCTCAAATCATATTAAACAAGTAAACTAGGTTACTCAAGATAAGATATAATTTGGATTGTTTAATTTATCAACCCCAAGTTTTCCAATCCCAGAACACTCAATCTGTGTACTTCGATCAACATCTGGTGACCATGTACTTTGAAACAGCTTTGACTAATTAAACATACACATTAATTAACTTTGCATACCTGCTGTACAAAACAAACTAGAAACCACTCAAGTTTAAAGCAGTTTTTTACTTGTTCACATTTCAAGTGTTTTAGCAAAACGTACAATCTTATAACCAGTTAGATGTAGACATGGAGTGGTTGGAACTGATACGTGTATTGTTCAGATGAGTTACATATTCAGCAAAAACGGTTTTCAGGGGATCAGAACCCTAATCAACATCTATAGCCACATCCCAGTTTGAATCAGTGGTTTATACTGGTCTGCAATCTCTTAACTTTTCTCACAATTTTTCGTGTTTAATTTCACGACTCGCTGACGACTAACTGCTACTATTTTTTGCATCATTACAACGAAGTAAATACCGCTATTTTTGCTATTTCACTCCAATTAGTTCGGTACCGAGTGCCACGACCTGACGAAATGGAACGCAGAGCCGGCCCTAGACAAAATGGTGGTCTATACGAACATTATATTTGGCGCCTCTGCTTCTAATAAAAACTGTTAATTTCAATGTCAGTTTTGGCGTCCCTTGGGGTAGTCGCCCTGAGCGGGGACACATGTCGTCCACCACAAGGCTGGACTTGATGAAGCGAAAATGAAATATTAACAAAATGATGTTTAGCACAATACTAATGAATGTGATTTTTATCTTCACGGACATAACATAACCAAAGTGATATCCAACCTTGGCAAGTCATCATACTGAGAGGGAAATCATAGTCACACTTCTTAAATACTTTTCTGTGTAACATTAAGGATTTCTTGCGGTTGATTTTCCAAAACAAGGTCTTGTTTTTGTATTTGTCTCAGTGCCATGTGACAAATCATAAAACAGACTGAGCCTAATATTTACTTTCTGCCTAATACCTGGTACAGGAATCAGAAAAGGGGACCAGAAAAAATATGATGAATCTGAAAATTTAGGTTGCTAAGTTTATTTTCTCCTCTAAATACCTGTAAACCTGTAATTTACTAGATACATTTATTGTAGACGTTAAATGGTGATATAATACCCACAAATCTTATTAATACACCTAATGCGTCACTTAAAACAAGCTTAACTTAATTATTTCATAAATTCATCACCTAAGTTATGTTAATATGTGAATTATGACTCAACAAGGTGCATGTGAACTTCATGAAGTAGGTGTTTCAGCCGGTACTTTGATAGGAACATGTGCTGTTGCAGACAATCAACTATTCAATTGTAGATTGAAAATAATAAAACAGTAGCTGTTTCTAAGCGTTGAAAGTTGCAGTACGTTAGACTACTGTAAGAACCAACTTGTAGTTAGTAGCTGTCCCCATGGTTACACAATGTACAATTGGTAGCCAATGACGAGGTTCAGTGATCATATCAGAGTAGTGTAATTAGGCTGAACACGACTTTATACGTACACTATTACAGTAATCTCGGCAAGTGAATGATATCAGTTTACAGTGGTGTAAACTGAACACTCGGTTTAAATATGATCCAAAGAGATCCAGTAATACAGGCAGATATGTAGTAGAAATCATAGCTAAGTGTGTAAACTAGATACTTTATTATCCTCACAAACATACCAAATAAAGCCCATTTTTTATAGATAGTTGTTTGGAGATCATCACATGTTAGTGCACAAAAGATTGTGGAACACTGGGCTGTAAATGCCAGAAACTCTGTTTTTATTATGCTGAAGCTTGTGGATGCCAAAAATACGATAATGTAGTTGATAGTCTGAAAAAAGAAAAGTGTGAATAAATGCCATTTTTGAAAAAACATAACATATTAAGTGTTGAACCTGTAATATGTTTTGAAATACAACAACATAAATAAATGCTCTTGGAGATAAGGAAAACGAGAGTTTATATTTTTTTATTTTTGAAGTATTTCCCTGAAAGTGTAGAACTTTGATAAATTGAATTCACACTAGATTTAAATTTGTATAACATTTTGGATCTACAACTTTTACACAACAAAATAGGTACACCTAAAATTTGAGTTTCTCTTTGGTTTATAAAATACTATATGATTTTCTCCTAACTACATATAAGTTTCTAATTCAGTAGTGTTCAGCATGTCAAAATTAAAGTAACAATGATGCTTTCCACTTTGTTTTCAACAACCATGTTAACACCCGTCCTAAACTGATACATTTAAAAAATGTAAAGAAATATACACAGTTACATCCTAGTACATTAAATGTATAAATCGTGTTACATGCAAATACATATCTAATTTCTAAACTTTAATAAATCTAAACATTCCGAAAGTTAAAACGTAGACATGTTTTCGGAGAAAACGTGGCCTTGTAGTTAGCCTGCCCCGACTGTGAATACACCATAGGTTCATGGTTCGCCACCTTTTGCCGCAAAAACGCGATCCGCATTTTGGGGCTGTAGAACGCCATAAGAATGACGGTTAAATCCCGCTATTTGATTAGAAAAGAGTAACCCAAGAGTTGGCGGTGTTGTCAATTGGTTGTCTTACCTCTAGTCTACCAGTTCAGAATTAGAAACTAATATGCGCAGATTGTCCTTTGTGTAGCTGAAATACATTTAACATAAAGCAAGTATTTTGTATTATACATATTCTATGCTAAAGTAACTGACCGAGTAAAAACTAGCTAAGTACACCAGTTTTGGAAAACTTCTTTTTTTTCTGCATACCCTTAACTTGAGGTCTAATGATCGTTAGTCTTTTGTTGAAAATTGTTTGGGAGTGCTGTACAGTTTATATGTAAAATCAATACCAAAAATTAGTTTATTGGACTTAAAAAAAATACAAAACTTGGCATAAAACAAATTAAAATATAATGAAGCTTATTCTTTATATCTTATTGCATAGATAAAGACAAAATCAGCACAAACAAAACAGTAATTACAGTTTAAAGAGAAGCTGCTTCAAGTTTGTTTCATTATTATTTTTTTAAATTTATGTCTATATACACTAACCGAGTTCTCTTTCGCAGACATCGGAACAGTATTACAGTATATTTGCTTTGATTATCTGTGTTTTGGTCATGGCCTTTAGCATTTTTTAGTTTCTGTCAGGGTGAAGTGTGTTTTCATTATCATATTAGGTTGTCGTTTCAGCTTCTGTCAGGGTAAAGTGTGTTTTCTTCATCAAGTTGTGTCCTCTCATGGAATATTATCAATTGTGAGACATTCTTAATCTTTTGTTTGCAGACTTTGTGAATATTATTCGTTTTCGACGTTTAAGCATCTGATATAATCGTTAAAACAAAATATGATTAAGTTTACTTAAACTTTTAAATTTAAAACTTCGTGTTCAAGAACCTTAAAATTTTGTTTTCAGTAAAACCGATACCATAACTTCAATGTGTGCAAAAGAGAGGCACCAACACGTTCTTTCAACAATAAAAAATAACCGAAAAACAAAACATAACCGAAACGGTGTGTTGAAACAATCTAGTCTCAATAACTATATATATAAAAATTGAATTAGAATACACAAGTTGGAAGGAACGTAAGGTTTCAAGAACTTATCTTGAACCATCCTTATTGAAATATGCATATATATATATTCTTTGTAAATGTTATTTGTATTTTCAAGGTATAAGTTAAAAGCACAGTAACTGTGTGATATGTTAATTAATTTAATCTATCTGAAACATGTTACTAATGGGCCTGTATTTTCAAAGATAAATACGTTTTACGTGATACATCAGTTGCTGACTGAAATTTGTTTCTAATTTTGATGTTTGGTTATCATCTATCTAAATGTCAAGGTTAAATTGCAGTAAAAGAGAGGAATAGCTATACTTATCGACAGCATTTGAAGCTTTTATCTTTAAGCAACTGAATTTATCAGTTCTAATTAAAGAAGCGAAATCAGTTAGAAATGTACTTCGTGCATGATAGTTTTCCGTCGCATAGTTTCAGAAGTTCAGAATTAACGTCATAACTTGTTGTGCGGCAACAACCTTACCAATGAGGGCAATTAAACCGTTTGACATTGTGAGTAGCAAAAGGTGTGCATCATTTTAATTTATTCCTTGAATTGAAATCAGTGAGCTTCAAGAAGATAATTCACACTAGGTAAGACATCTACTAACAATCCTTATAGCACAGATTACACATCTACTATGAATCCTTATAGCACAGATTACACATCTACTAGGAATCCTTATAGCACAGATTACACATCTACAAAGAATCCTTATAGCACAGATTACACATCTACTAAGAATCCTTAGAGCACAGATTACACATCTACTAGGAATCCTCATAGCACATCTTACACATCTACTAGGAATCCTTATAGCACAGATTACACATCTACTAGGAATCCTTATAGCACATCTTACACATCTACTAAGAATCCTTAGCGCACAAATTACACATCTACTAAGAATCCTTAGCGCACAAATTACACATCTACTAAGAATCCTTAGCGCACAAATTACACATCTACTAAGCATTCTTAGAGCACAAATTACACAACTACCAAGAATTCTTAGAGCACAGATCAAACATTTACTAAGAATCCCTATATTTATTATTCCAAAGTTCAATAA